CCAAAACTGAATAAATACCACACATATCAACACAAAACTGCTTTGCTAGCTCAATCATGTTGTAACTAAGATATCCGCTGGAACAAATATTTTTTTCACGGGACATTTAGTGAGTTTTTTTATATGGTGGCGGAAGCTATATGAACGAGCTAACCCTCGTCTGCTGAGTTTTAAAAATGTCAGCTATTTTGTTGCTTTCTGTTGACGTCACATCCCTCCTTGAGTATATCCAATCAGCACCAAGTAAACCCCAAGCCCCAGCCAGGAGTCTTCTGAGTACCTACTCTGAGGCAGGGACTTGTTTAGCCCCTGTAAAAGTTCCGGAACTCTGTCCTTCAGGGGTGGTTTCTGCGGTGGAAACGGGCCTTATGTCTTAACTACGTATTGTCTTGCGTACATGTTTTTAACTGTTTTCTTGCTTGCATGTTTATTTGCTTGCTGTGAAGTTCGTTTTGTCCCTTGTGTTCTGTATTAATTGTCAGGCTATCTTATGTTGTCTTGTTGTCAATTATATGTTAATTTTAGCAATGTCATTATTACTTGTTGTTCACACACTAATCAATTTTAATTAGTTGTAGTTTATTGATCGGTGCTTTAAGATAAGACTGATGTTTGTTCCCTCAGCATAGTTCTACTTTGTTTTATTTCAGGGAGCCTTTGTAACACCTGGCCAGGGACAACAGATAAAAATTAGCCTTTGGCTAAATCTGGCATATTTACAGAAATGTCTATTAATATGCTCTGTCCGTTCAAATAAACAAATAAATAAAATAAATAAAAATAAACTTCAGGTACAGTATTTGTACTAAAATATGGATGAGAGGTCCATCCATCAATTCAGAATAATCAACGGATAAAATGATCATCAGGGACACACAACGATTTTAGTATCAGTAGATTTAGTGGCTGCTAGATAGATTTTTGTTTTAACTTCTACAGCGTATTTATTGAAAATCTTCCAAATGGAATGGAAAGAAAACAGTAATATTTGGTCAATCCAATAGTGACACAACAAGTAGGTATGTAGTCAGTAAAATAAGATCAATACAAAACTAAGACTGGACTAAGGTAGGACAAATACCACGAACAAAATCAGATCAATCAATGGAAACTTTACCATTTACAAAAATGCAGAATAAGGGAGTTATTTTGAAATCATTGTGAAGTAAAAACAATGTCCTTGTGACTTTCAAGTCAATGTGGATTTCATGAATCAGCTGTTACCATTAAGACACCAACAACAAGATAAGAGACATGTATTTTTTGGATAATAATTTACATTATTAACAACACTTCTAATGACAATGTGTGTTGTCATGAAATATTGAAAACATCAGCATGATAAGAGCAAACAGTGTCACACTGATAGATAGTTCTCTCATGCTGGATAATACGAGTCCCTCTGCTATCTTCCATATCCCCCAGAGGTTCCTACCTGCTGAGAGCTGAGTCTTTGCAGCTGCCTGCAATCAGCAATCAGCACCCAGCCAACCCTGCTTCATCATCTCGTCAGCCTGTGGGAGAATATCAGACCGTGGTGCAGTATGTCTTATCAAAGAGTAACAGTAGACTTCCTGACTTAAAAATACACTCATTAAATTCAGGGTGTGTCTGACTGAAAGAAAGGCAATTCATTTCTGATCAAGAGTCAGTCAGAGCATTTCCATAGAGAGCCACTTTGCATCAGCAGCACCATGCTCCAGTGCTCTGGGAGAGTTTATAGTCCTGAGAGTTGAACACTGGATGACTGACAGCTGTCCTTCATGACAACAGAAGCCACAGAAATCCTCCTCTTCATCAAAAACATGACTTTGACCTCCGTCCTCATCTGGACTCTCCTCTGCTGCTGCTTCACAGGTAAAGTCCAGAGAATCAAACTCCTCTCCTCTATCAACATCCGTCCCTCTGAAATGAAGACCACAAAACCATGACGCTGCTTTATGTTTTTGTCTCTGTATCCTCAGAGTCCAGAGGTCAGGTCACAGTGACTCAGCCTGGAGCAGTGAGATCTGCTCTGGGAGGCTCCGTCTCCATCAGCTGTAGGACCAGTCAGAGGGTTTATGGTGGGAGCTACTTGCACTGGTACCAACAGAGAGATGGAGAAACTCCTAAACTGCTCATTTATGCAACTAGCACTCGAGCATCAGGGATTCCAGGTCGTTTTTCAGGCAGTGGATCAAACTCTGACTTCACTCTGACCATCAGTGGAGTTCAGGCTGAAGATGCAGCAGTTTATTACTGTCAGAGTTATCATGAGGTCAACAGTCAGAGTGTGTTCACACAGTGAAAAAGCGTCGTACAAAAACCTCCCTCAGTCAGACTGAACAGAAACTGAAGTGACTGCTGCAGCTGGAAGCTACTGCAGAGACTGATACACTTCACTGAGGACACACACACACACACACACACACACACACACCAAATTCACAATGTGATAAAAAACAAATGTCTCCACATTGAATTAAATTCTCAGGACACAGAAGCTCCACGTCTCTGAACAAACTGTGGCTGTCTGAAGGCAGAACATTGGATCCAAAAACATGTGGTGGATGTTTTCACATGTCCAGAATGTTGGACCCAATCATTATCAGACCGGTGTTAATCCTGCCCAAACCTGACAGGCAAAAATTACATTGAAAAAATCAAAGGTCAGATGTGAAGGGGACCTGAGCTCAGCCTCACCCGACCTGAATAGAAGGTTCAAACACCCTGACTGCATCTGACACGCGTGTTTTAAAATACGTGTGTTGTTTTAAATGGCTGAACAGGCACCAAATGATTTTTCTCCTCAAAGGACAATATTTGATGAAAGAAATAAATTATTAATAACAACACAAACTTGTGCCTGCCGACACATAAATAAGAAAGTTTCTCCTCAAATCCTGCTGGATGTGTAATGTTGTCATTTTAGATCTGATGCATTTTCCTGTTACTGATGTCCTACAAATGAATGAAGTCAGAGAAACTGAAAATGTTTTTGATTCTTGAAGAGCTGTAGCAATTATTTACTGATAAACTGTAGCTTAAAGGGATAGTGCACCCAAAAATGAAAATTCATCCATTATCTACTCACACATATGCCGATGGAGGCCCTGGTGAAGTTTTAGAGTCCTCACATCCCTTGTGGAGATCGGCGGGGGCAGCAGCTAGCACACCTAATGGCAGACGGTGCACCAGACTAACGTCCAGGAACACAAAATTGAATCCACATAGTATCTCCATACTGCTCATCCGTAGTGATCCAAGTGTGCTGCAGCCCGACATAAAAAGTTGTTTCAGTAAACATCATATGAACTCTGTTTTTAGCCTCATTGTAGCCTGTAGCTCTGACTGCTTCTCTGTGCTCCGCGCTCACGTGTGCGCGCTCAGGGTGATCGGTGATGCACGGTCTCTGAAGAGCAGCAGTCTCGTCAGTACTGATGTCCAGATTCTCAAGTGCAGGCATCGCCAACTCCCAGTCTGAGCAGCAAAGACTTTCCTCATCCGTTGGCATTGCTTTGCATTTGAAACAACTACACCACCAGGTTTCCAGTGCTCGACTCCGGTATTCTGCGGCTGGCTGAGGCTCATGAGCTGCGGCGGCTGCTTCGTCCAGTAGCCTGAGTTCCCTCTGTATACTCGGGCTCAAACAAATACGGCTCAACAAAGAAATGCTGTTCCTCCTCAGTTTCAAAGTCTTCAGACATGTTGGGCTGTCCTTTGCTAAAAGACTGTAGTGCAAATGATCTTTTAGCTCTGTGGTTACTGTTGTCTCTCCCTGCGGTGCACGTGTAACGTGATGTAAACACGGGTGAGCAAAGCTCATGCTTTCGCTGGTCGCACGCAAGCGCACACACGTGAGCGTGGAGCACAGAGAGGCAGTCAGAGCTACAGGCTACAATGAGGCTAAAAACAGAGTTCATATGATGTTTTTCGAAACAACTTTTTATGTCGGGCTGCAGCACACTTGGATCACTATGGATGAGCAGTATGGAGATACTATGTGGATTCAATTTTGTGTTCTTGGACGTTAGTCTGGGGCGCCGTCTGCCATTAGGTGTGCTAGCTGCTGCCCCCTTGGATCTCCACAAGGGATGTGAGGACTCTAAAACTTCACCTGAGCCTCCGTCAGCATATGGGTGAGTAGATAATGGCTGAATTTTCATTTTTGGGTGCACTATCCCTTTAAACTCTACAATACTCTCACAGTATTGCTGTTACTAACTTTACTCTACAGCAGCATTGTAGTCTACGTCATATGCAGGTCTGAGCCATAAACCCACTGAGACAGAAAACATATGATTAATTACAATTACCTGTGAATGCACCTGAACTGTAGATTGTGTTGGATTTTTAGTGGAGCATGTGAAGTTGTCTTGGCCGATGTATGTTTTCTGTTTTATTTCGTGACCTAATGCTGTTTTCATGTTGCCTTCGTGGCCAAATATTTCTTGTGAAATGTATTTTTATTCTGAGAGGACATTTATATAGATAAGAAACTGTAACGAAGATTTGTTTAATTTAAAGGCTTAATTACAATACAACCACCTGAGTTTGGCTGTCCAGGCCTTTCACAGCCACTGACACGCCGGCAGCACAATGATGATGTCACTGATTCTACTGCTGGCCACCCTGGGGCTCCTTGTTCAGGGTGAGACTCTCTTCTGTCTGAAAACTTTGCTTCAGGATGCAACCAGGTTCACCACAATGATGTTCTGCTCTGATGGAGAAACACTGAAACAAGCAGCATTTACCTTCTTCCATCTATTCTCCATGTTAAAGAAATGAGACTCTTCTGTTTGGATGTTGATCATCTTTCTCCAAGCTGGATCTGTCTCAATAACCCTTCTCCTCTTTCTCATGTTTTCAGATTCATCAGGAGAAATCATCCTGACTCAGTCTCCTGGATCTCAGTCTGTTGCTCCAGGACAAACTGTCTCCATCACGTGTAAAACCAGTACAAGTGTAAGTGACTACCTCCACTGGTACCTTCAGAAACCTGGAGAAGCTCCTAAACTCCTGATTTATTCAGCTACAACTCGTCAGTCTGGAGTTTCACATCGTTTTAGTGGAAGTGGATCTGGGACTGACTTCACTCTGACCATCAGAGGAGTTCAGGCTGAAGATTCAGGAGTTTATTACTGTCAGCAGGGTTACAGCACACCGTTCACACAGTGATACAACGTCGTACAAAAACCTCCCTCAGCTGGAGAGGAACTGATCTGACTCAACAGCTGCACTGAAACTAAAACAACACAAGTTTTACTCCAAATAAAAAAATGTAGTTAAGAAAAATTCACTTAGAACAAATATTATCTAAATGTACTGTATATAAAACACTATGTATATTTTATTTAATCAGGCTTTTAACATTCTGCTGCACATCAAAGCTAAACTCTGTTAAAGAATAATTTAATGATTCATAATAGAATAGTAATAATTTAATTCATAGAGTATGATAACACATGAATGTATGAATGTAAATATTATATATTTTAAATCTTACCATTTTTCATTGGATCTTTAAGGAACTCATTCTTTAAATAAATAACAACAGTTGATATCAATATTTTTTTCATGTTGTACAATTACTTATGTGTACAACATATTTGAGCCATTTTGTGTGTTTTGTATTCCAACAAAAATATGTATTTTATAGATTACACCAAAAAACGATTTATGGAGTATGTAAATCAGTCACATTTTAATTCTGTTCTTTTGTCATCTCTTTATTTCTCTTTGTGGTTCTTCAGCAGAAACAGGATGTTAATATTTTCCAGTTTAAATTTGTAGATCAAACTCATTTTATTTCTCTCTATGCAGACGATATACTGCTATTTATTTCAGATTTAACAAACACTTCTCTAACTTTTGTAGATTCACCCTATGGGCCCGAATGACGCATAGTGCGTCCAAATTCGCACCTGTTCTTCTCTATTGATCTCTATGACTGTGCGTCATAGCGAGAAGCCACACATATCACGTGAAACAGCGTTATTGTAGCTTTCCGACAAGACCAAGCACTTGTTGGTAGTCCAATGTTTTCACAGCAAAAAAAATGATAAAGTTACACTAAAATCATGTATAACAGAGCTTTCATACAGCTTTGCACACACATTACTCTTGGATGGATTACTCGCAAATGCAGGGTCGCACAGAAATGCCACATATATAACATGAAAGCGCAGGAGCAGAGCTTTCCACTTATGCCACACACATCATTGTGCTGTCATCCCATCACGCTATAAATACAGATCAAGTGTCTACAAAATAAAAACCTGACGAATTTCTTTACAATCCATTATACAGATCTTGTTATCAGTCACTTCATATAGTGAGGAATATCGTATCTTACCACGTCTTAGGCTTGTGTGTGTTTCTCCCTGTCTATCCACATTTGTAGTCCAGCTTTCAAGATGCAAATATCTCCATATTGTCCAGTTGACACTCCATCAAACTTTGTATGACAAGACCAGCCACTTCACCTTTGCGCACCCAGACAACTGCAGCCTAATTATGCATGC